GATTTACGATGATTAACAGGTAATGTCGACAGCTCACATCCTGCAGACGTGAATTCAGCAGATGCACTGCAACGAACACCGATTATTTATTCATTTTGTTCATATGTTTAGACGTCAGAATATAAGTGGTAGTAAACTCAACGAACTGCGTTATTTCAACAACTGAAGACGCTTCAGTGAATGGTGGTTGTGATGGATATTGGCATGAATACCATACATTCTTCTATTAATTCTGTCATCGATAATGTAGAAAAAAAATTCTCAATAGCTGTGGATTTGATGGAAATTTAACAAATTAATTCGGCTCAAAAAGTTTTTGCTATATTATTATGGATACTTCATCATCATGGACTTTCATTTGTAGTTGAGATTCGCGAATGGCATAGAATTAATTGCTTCTGCAATCGCAGTCAACAATTTAAGTCGCCAGTTTAACTGAATGCAATGTATTTGCTATCATACCACGCAATGAGTTCATTTTCATCGCACGACTGAGCACACTCTTCAACAGTGGCACTCTCAGTTAGTTGTGTTTCGACACCCGGAATGATGCGTTCCTTATCGTTGAATACTGCATATCGAGTCACGGCATTCTCATCGCATGAACTGGCGCCTATTCTGCCAATTCCCATAGAAATAAGCTTCTGAAATAGCTCGTACAAAATTGTCACTAATCAACTCGTCACGCTACACAAGCATGTCACTTAGGCTGTGATTATTGTTTTACTTTGCAACTATAAACGATATGCAACTGAAAACTGAAATAGCTGAAAAAATAACTGACCTCAATTTTGTCGTCCGACACGTTTGACTTCGTGATCTTTTTGCTCTTTGAACCGTATTGTTTGTGAATTGCTGGCTCGATCAACGACGATTTATCTGCCTTCGACTTGGATTGTTTTGATGAGGATTTGGACACTTTCGATATTTTTCGCGTCGTTGATTTTATGGATTTTTTGGGTGAAGCTGAACCAGAAACTTTTGAAGCTTTCGCAGAGGACTCATTGATCTCGAGCGGATTCGATGAGTTGTTCAGCGGTAATTCTGTTTCAGCGACTGACTCGAACGATTCAGCAATTTTCGTAACGATATCGTCGCTCGTTTCAGAATTCGTTTCATCGTTCACTTCAAGCGATTCTCCCGCAGCGATCGAATCCAAATTGTCGATTAAACCCTCGTCTTCTGTCACGCCAAGAGACGCCAGATCTGTGACGTCGTACGCGGATTTCGTCTCAACAACCACCCGCTCACTGGCCCCGGAAGGTGCGCCGAAGATTCTCGGTCCAAATTCTTCAGGTTCCGCATTACCACGAATATTCTCTTCGGTTTTTCCACTTACTTCATCATCAGTTGGTGTGCGAGCGTCTTTGAATCTGCAATATAAATCCCTTCCATTTCAGTGGTCAACATACATTCCCATAAAAAGATTTCCCATTATCATATTTTCGTCTCGATTTGTAAACTTGCAGAACTATGAAATGTTGCACTCGGACTGAGACCAAAAATGTTCCACTCGCATATCCTTACCATCGGAAGCGTAATAANTGTTCAATGAGAATTTATCTGTACGATAAAAAAAATCTATTTCTCAGACGACAACAACAAAACTCATAATCACTCACACGAAATAATCTCGTCCAGGGTATTCGGTCAAGAAGTGTGGATAGTTGGTACCATTGATCGCGAACAGATCACAAATTTTCCATCGATTATCGTAGGTGAGTGTCCGACAAACCCACTGAGTACCAATTGACTGAAATATTAATCCACAAAATTAATCGTCAGAAGAGACTTTCAGTTCCCATCAATTGCATAAATTTTTCAGTTACATCTGAGTCAGTACGAAAACATTATAATCGAGCGTGAAATAACGGCACAGTTGACCTTGAAAATGCTGAATTGAAACAATTCAATGGTTTAATCTTGCAGAGGGACTTCACCTCCGATTACGCGCTTCAGTGGTTAAGTGGACGTTGTTCACACAGATTTTAAGTTTTCGAGTTCAAGAATAAGAGGGTCAAAATAATTGCTATTGGATTCATTGAAGGACCTTTCAATGGACTTAATCTTATGAATATATTCATATTTGATGTCATGTCATGTTGGGATGTTTCGAGTGGAAGAGCAATTGTGATGTTTCAGTTAGAAGAGTGAGCGCTTTAAGAGAACAATCGATATTCTTGGAAATTCGGTGTATGAATCAGTTAAAGTGCATATCGTAATGGCATAGAGGATGAACACACTTGTAAATTTGAGCATTTTGCGAGGCATTCTTCACATGATAAACCCGTCGTACGATCGAACATCACCGCATTGGCAATCGCTGACTGTGGCTCTATGGACCACTTGGATTCATCTTAAATCACATATCATTATCAGCTTAAATCACTGAAGTTGATCAATTCTCACTGACCATATTCGTTTATCTTTGAAAATACATTGAAATTTCGAATGATTGCATGAACGTTTTTTTGGTAGTTTCCACTGAACAAAACAACTTTAAAATGTGGTTTGCCTTTACAAATTCATTTCACAATAACAACGTCTTCGATTTCACAATAATAACGAACCCAACAACTACACTGCTTTGTGCATGTGAATTATGATTGTTTCGAACGTTGACGAAAACAATTGAACCAGTTTCAAGTTATGTTTCCTTGCTTATTTATTACCTCGCACAGACTTTCCCGATTAAAAGGATATTCAGCGCCCTAGGGTGAAATTTTTACACACGATTGTGTTTTTGCCCACAAAAACATTCGTAACCAATAAAATTGATGAGTTTCACAGTAGAATTACATATGAGAAAATGGATTGGAGAGTGAAAGAGATAGGATGTGAAAAACGAATTAATGAGGTGACCAATCGAAAACGACAGTTGTAATGATGACGATGAATGGGAGAGAAAACGAAGGAAAAACAACGTAATTAGTGGATGAAATTGAATTCGAATGTTTTCATGGATAATCTTTGATTTTGTGTTGATTAATGGATAATCTCTAATTTGCTGACGGCACAACTGAACGGAGATGCACGGATATCTAATAGAACTGTATTCATGATTACCTAATGAACACATCCAATGTTCAACCGAATCTTATCTATCACAAAGAAACATTAAATTAAATCTAAAAACAACAAACAATTCGGTAATCGATTAAAGACTGTCAGATATTTCATCTTATGACCACCATAGTTTTACTTGACTAGGACTGATCAAAATGTGGATGATGCTTTCATTATAAAACCAAAGAAATGATACAATTGCTACAGTAGACTGTTGGAGTTGCTACAGTGGATTTTTGGAGTAGTATACCCTTGCAGTAAGTTCCTTCGGGCATAACGACTATTCTTCAGACATTTATATGGATAGGAACATCCATGTGACATTGACGAAATGACTTTTAAAATCCTCGATATAGAATGCGCTNGAAAGGAGATGAATAAGCTTCGATTAAGTACAGTAGCCACGAAAAACACTCACCAAATTCACACTTTCCTTCACTGAATGCTGAACGTCGTAGAGGTGGCGGTGGTGGTCTATAGCCTAAGGACTGTCGAGATGCTGGCACTCGTGGTGGAGCGAATGGAACTTCAACATTATTGTTGCCTTCCAGTACATTTCCAAGAACAGCACTTGAGGTGTGCAGCGGAAACATTCCATATTGTGCCAGTGTCACACTAGCCAATGCTATCAACAGATAAACCGCAACACTCAGCCAACGCATCGTATCGAAACCTATTGCAAAGTTCAACTTATCAGTTAAATAATGATGGGGATGCTTTCAATTCAGACAAGAGTGATAGTGAATGATGGCGCAGGTGCGGTGGATATATATGAACAGCGAAAAGATCAGTGATGTTGTTGCAACGTGATTTATATATGGGGTCTTGAGTTGAGGAGTGGGAGGGATGTGACGACGTTCAATTCCATTATTCGCTATTGTTTACTTGTGTTTTCATGAAGATGAAGGCGACAGGATGATTGGATTTTTGCAATATTATGTTCATCCCATATCCATAGGACGGNGGACGGGTCAGTCAACGAGTGAGGCGTCATAGTGGCAGTGATTGATTGACCTGATTGACTTCATGGTGTTCATTTGCTCGTTTATCCGGATTCGATTCGAATTGAAGAGTGAAAATTGATAATTATTCAAAGAAGTTATGACGATATCGATGCTGATAGAGATAGCGCCTGAGGACTAGTTGATTTATACGATCAGGAATGCAAATATATGCATCATGATCCATCTATTTCGACAAGACATAAAGTGATGATAGACGACGTCAGACAGGTAATGGTGAATGGAATGTGGTAATCATTCAATAATATTAACAATGGAATTTTAAATGTTTCCATTTCGATTCCCATTTGAATGTGCACTTGAATTTATTGCAATCACATAAACGAACAAGGCATTGATTATAGTTATGCGAATATTATCATGTTATTCAGTGGAATGATGTTGACCTGATTTGACTAATGTAAGTGAAAGTGGTGAATATTTCGAGTTATTATTACTCTCACAGATATGCGAGATTATCTTTGAAGATAACATCNCCAATTCGACAGTTGTCACTTATGAATTTGAATTTGATTTCTTCAGTTTCACTCTATACACCGCGATTGGGTATTCTCAGGGAGTGTTCAACTCGGAGTTAATATTTTACATATCAACGAAAACAGTTTCATCAAACTGACAGTTTTGATGCGCTTAAAATCATTGTTACGGGATGGGATCATGTGAAAAAATCGAAGGGAATAAAATAGGGAATAAAAATTAAAAAGAGAAATTTTTTACGGTGATTGACGGAACTATTCAGGTTTAGTCGTCTGAAAGAGATACCAGCTGAAGGAGAATACGAAAGGTTTCTTTCGCTGATGACGTTCGAAGATTGTTTGATTTGTTTGGAATGTTTTTCTGAGGTTCACAAACTTTCTTTATTTAAGTTATTGATTTTGCCAAATGATCGTCGCACCGCCAAACGATCAGTATTTTGGTTCTGACAGAAAAATAAACAGTAATCTCAGTCGAACTTATATTGCATATTCTCTTTGTAAAATACTAGTGTTCACCACGGGATTCATTGTAAAATTTCAGCACCTTCACTTACGAGTACCTCCTATGGGATGTTGGAAATTTTCGAGAGTAAATCTTTCTTATTTGGAGACAGTTACGATGTGTATCATTCACTGTTCCATCATGTTTATCGTTGAAGCCATAATCAAACTTCTGTACTTTTTCTTACTATAATCTACAATTTCAGTCATAAGATTCTCTTGGTTTTAGGATGCTTGACAATTTCGTTTCTCTTGAATCATTTACGATTGCGTCAATCAAACACATTCCATCCGTATTGTCGTTAAGATATTCACATGTGACTTATAATCGGTATTACATCAGTTAGTACAAGGAACACATTGTATTTACGATTACATTCTATAGGAGATTGGAAAGCATTCAATGAAGCTTTACAAATGCGATTGATTCAGTGGCCGATATTGGAATGCATTGCAGAGATTGTTGAAATTTAAACGTGTGAACTCTTAGTTTCCTTTTCGCTTCATTACCAACTGAGACATATTTCATACGGTTGAATTCCTCACACATCAAACAACTCGTTTTGCTGATTAATTGGGCGGATAATTTTGCACTATTTCGTATATTCCGATGATTATCAACAATAACATGAAGAGGCGGCTCATAACGCATTCATTGCGGTCTTGAATTGGATAAGAAATCCTTTCTAGGAGAGGGTCTATTATTCCGATAGAAAGCATTTCTCAGTCAGTGACGATTTAGAGAACCTTACAACTCATCAAAATTACTGCTTTTATGAGTGGTATGCAGTTCTTGCACTGCGACAAAGAACACTCAGTGCGTGTGAAATTAGGAATATCGAAAGTATGAAAACGAACATAATATTTTTTT